GAAATTAAATTATTAAACAGTCTAGATTTCGATATTGGTCTGACTGTTTTGGATTTTCTTTATCGTTATTGTGAAACAATACCATTGACATCGGCTCAATTACGTCTAATTTTTTTTACTTTACTTTTCTAATCCCTCATTTCAAAAATATGAACAAAAAAGAAAAAACATATCCTAGAAGCTGTAGTACACATTAGTAAATATCTTCTTGAAATATCAGAACATCGTTACACACACAAAAAAACAGATTAATGTACAACACACAAGAAATAGAGGAAAAAAATAGATAGACCAAAGGAGGACGGTTTAGATTTCACTCATTTATTTATTCATCATCTTCTTGTATAATTTCTTTCAACTTTTTCTTTAGCTTTTTTAATTGCTGTGCTGGTCGTTGATATTTTTTCATTAATTGACGATGAATATTTGACGTTGAATAATTGATTTTCAATAAACATTCAGCAATTTTTTTCATACCATAATTCACATGGCATCTAGAACAAAATAGTACAGAGATCAAAATGAACAATACTACTAATCATCGTTCTAAAAACTGCATCAACGATAGATCACTACGCATTCTTCTATTGATTAATAAGTTCATAGAGGCGAATTGTATGCTACAGTCTGGTTGTCCGAATAGAGTGGATCACTCAACTACCGAGCTATTCAACACGTTTATATATTTATAAGAATAAAAGTATAAAGAACAGTGCATTATTTAGAATAGAATAATGAAAAGAGATATTTACGTTTGTTAGTTGAAAAAAACATTTAATTACCGTTCATATTTTGTTCGTTTTGCTAATTTCAAAGGCCATGGTTTATCGTCGATGAGTAATCTGACAAGTGTAAATGTACAAGCAGCTATATATGATTGTTTATAATTAACATAAATATCATTTTCAATCAGTAAACAAAGTAAAGTAAAAAAAATTAGACGTAATTGAGCCGATGTCAATGGTATTGTTTCACAATAACGATAAAGAAAATCCAAAACAGTCAGACCAATATCGAAATCTAGACTGTTTAATAATTTAATTTC